AAGCGGGACTGGCCTAGGGGATTTTATAGGGGTTTTAATTACTTTTAAATTTGACATTTTCAAATATTTCATTTTAATCAAATTTTAACTAGGTGTAATTTGTTAGCTTTTTATCATTTGTCAGCCGCCCTGAGTCCGAAAGGAGAAGGGCGGGATATAAATACAATTAATAAATAAATAAATAAATAAATAAATAAATAATTACTATTGCATGTGAAATTATAATTGAATAGATTAGGTCTTATCTATCAATGATTATTCAACTTCACCATTGACCCTATTCTAATACCTCATGGAATATAAATATTTATTTCTGCAGTAGCAGGAAAACTGGTTTAATTTCAGAAATTTTAGTGTTAAGAATCTTTTCTGATTCACACTTTCTAATACTGCTATATACAAAACTAAGCTGTTGGCAGCTTTATTTATGCAGTTATTTAGGTTATATTGCCACCTATTAATGTACTTTTGAATGTTCATTGAATTATTTTGTAATGCAACAAACATCTCTAACATGATATTAATCTAAAGTTAATACATTTATCTTCAAATAAATTGTCCTCAGTTCCAGTTGATCCCACACTGATCATAGTTGTCCAAGCTAAGGAAGATGCCTATATTCCAAGAACTGGAGTGCGTAGCCTTCAAGAAATTTGGCCAGGATGTGAAATCAGATACTTGAATGGAGGTCATGTTAGTGCTTATCTCTTCAAACAAGGATTGTTCAGGTTAGTCATTCAGAGTAAGCGCTGAAAATTAAGTGTAGCTGCTGCTTAAATCATTTAAATTATTTGTATACTGCTTATTTAAACATTCAAAATCAGTTTAACATAATTCATTACAAAACAAACTCCAAAGAATGTTAATAGCTCTAATAGTATAGTAATAACATTATTATACTTTTTAAAATACTGTGTAGAGACTTTTGATACTACAAAGTACATACCATAACAAACAAAGTCTCCTTACATCCCCATGAACTAGCAATCTATAAGTCATGATGTAGAAAGTAGGATATCCTCACGGATCAATAGAATCTAGAAGGAGATATAATTGAAAATGGTCTTTTAGGTTTTGGTTTCTACTAGATAATACATGATCCTTTGAGTCGTCATTTCAGAGATATTTCCATATCAGATTCCTCAGTGGTGTCAACAGTGGCAGACTCCTAACATATTGGAAAGGTTCTTAAAAATTCAGAGAGACATTCAGAGATATACCTGCTTGAAAGCAGCCCTTGTCAAATTGTACAGCATAGTCAAGCATCAGCAGTTGACCATAGGAAATGTTTTATGACATTCTATAGTTAGTTTCAGGGGTAAGGCGCACTTTGGTATGTAATGTTATTAAAGTGCATAAACCATTTTGCAAGTAGAATTCTAATTTGTACGTGAAAATGTGATTACTTTGTTGATATGGACCATGAAGTTGTAGTTTATGGTAACAGCATTCAAGTTGAATTTTACAATTTAAAATAATAAAGCTTTATTGAAATCAATATCCAAATGATATTAGTACAATTAATTTTCTTTTTTTCTTTTAGGCAAGCCATATATGATGCATTTGAACGCTTTGTTCAGAAATATTTGGCATAGTCCTCTTCTGTTGAATTGTTCCATGTATTTTTACTCCTGTGTGGATCCTGATATTAACTTCATGAATAGACAAACCTAACAAAATTGTAATCAAATATAACTTTTTAAAGTTAGATTTGTGGTGCTAAAGTGATTTTAGCAAAATTTGTTAATATTGGTATCTTAAATCTGCAAAATATGCTTTGATTAAAAATTATTATGATTTGGAAAGTTTATACACCCATAAAAGAGAGACCAATTCAGTTTTGACAACTCTTAAATTTCAACTTGCACACTTCTTTTGTTCTACTTTATTATAAATATCCAAAGAAATAGTATTGCGTTACAGCAATATAATACTAGCTCCTAAAGGAAAAAATAATATAAATTAGGCTTAATATATTGAAATTCCCCCTCCCTATCTCTTAAGATATTCTAGTTTGAATTATGATCACGTACAGATCCAATATCCAGAGTTAATTTTTTTTCTACTTGAGCTTGATGAGTAAATGTAGTGTACTTAACTAATTTTCCTGTAGTCTATTTTTTACTTTATTACTATATTCATTTAACATAATTGATAGCAATAACCCGTGCCTTAAAAAAGACAAAGATGCACATTTTGAACCACAAGAATTGAAATAAAGATTGGTGTTTCTGTCAATGTTGCATGTATTAATGTTTTAATAAATAATTTCTTGAATATTTTTTTAAAACTACATGTTGCATTAATAAGAGATTATGCTACAGTTCCTTGTTTCTATTGCTCTATAAAATTTTGCAGTAGTTTTCTTACAGAAATTCAAAATTCTTTCATTGCATAATATTGCTTCTTCAAAACCTTAAGCATGTACTTTTTATAATTGGAATTTAAAGTTAAGTGTATTGATAACCATGTGCACAGATATTCCTTGAGTCTTCACAACTAAAATTTCCTGTTTGTTCCTAACCACTTTTAATAGTTCCTCTGGAGTAGAGTAAGATAGCGATATTCAAGATTGTAGGAGAATGAAGGATGGGCAGAATGTAGGGTGCTTGCCTCAGGCTAGTAAAAGTGTGATTCTACTAGTACAAGATACTTCTGGACCTAAACCATTTTACAAGCTGAACTCCTAAATTATTCTCATTTTTTAATTCCAAAAGCCAGTTTGATATAGTGGGTAAAGCATAGGTTAGAAAATGAGAGATTATGAGTCCTAATTCTGTCTTAGGCACAAAGCCAGCTGAGTGACCTCGGGCCAATCATTCTCTCTCAGCCAGCCCTAGAAAGGAGGCAATGGCAAACTACTTTTGAAAGATTGCCAAGAAAAAAATGGAGTATCTAGTCCAGGAGCCAATTTGGTATAGTGATTGAGGCATCAGGCTAGAAACTGGGAAATCGTGAGTCCTAGTTCTGCTTTAGACAAAAATCCAGATGAGTGATTTTGGGCCAATAATTCTATCTCGGCACTAGGAAGAAGGTAATGGCAAACCATTTTTGAAAATGTTGCCAAGAAACTGAAAGCAGCCATCGGGTTGGCACTGATCTGAAGGCATAAAACCCAACTAGTCCAGGCAGTTTCCAGGAGTTAAAACTAACTCAAAGGCACAAAAAAAAGATTAAAACTAAGACTGTACTATACAATATTTAAAAGATAAAGCAATTGAAGTGCAGCATCTATTGAATAAGCAAGTAATAGAAAAAGTTCTTAAATATAGATGCTCTGTTTAAAAGATTAGATTAAAATTGATGCATTGGCAAATATCCTTTGCTTTGCTTTGACTGCAATCAGATTGTATCTAATTAAAACTACACTTAACCCTCTGATCTGTGAATAAATACAATTACTCTCAATGGAAAAAAGATCCTAAATTTATGTCAACTATCTTTGAAGAATGAAAAGAGCATTTGGATGATCTGGAAATAGAAGCGATTTCCATCGCCCTATTACCATGACCAGATAAGCCCTGATCCAGTTATGATAAATCACCCATGACCTCTGAGGAACAATTTGGATAGTTTAGATGCCTAAACTCCAAGGAGGGGGATAGACTGCTGGTTAAGGTTGTCTCCTGTTACCTGTTCTTTGAGATCTGCCTGTCCTTGCTGTTGTTGGAACAAATGAATAAGTAACCCCTTGGATCCTGGATATTGTCAAGGCCTCCTTGCAGGAGGGAAAATTACCAGCACTCTTAAAGGAAGCTGTAGTGTGTCCTTTCTAAAAAGGCCATCCCTGGAGGTTTGTTTATTTATTTATTAACTTTATTTGCCAACCATCTCATTTTGAAATGACCCTGGGTTGCTTACAGCATAAAAATGTTAAAATCATCAGAGATGAATATTTGTAATACAATAAGATGAAAGTACAATCAAAATAAAATAGTTACAAGAAGGGAGCTAGATGGTAGGGGATAATTTAATCCAGTTTCACTTTTTAAAGGATTGTTATTGAGACAATAGTGACAGATGGCAACATCCTAGAAGATGATTATATCAATCCTTCTCATTCAGGTTCAGATTTGACTTCATAGAGACTGCATCGGTCATTTTCTTGGATTAAGATCCAGAAGAGGGTAATATTAATCTCTTAGTTCTTTTAGATCTCTTGCACTTTTAGTACCATTGAATATGACCTACAGAAATTGGAGACTGGAAACACTGTTTTGTAATGGTTCCATTCCCTCAGTAGGTAATTTTGGGGGTGAAGGGGAGGAGATCATCATGGTGGCTTCTGCAATGTGGATACAACAGGAATTGGTCTTGTTTTCAATAGCTACATGAAACTGTTGGGATGTGTCATTTGACAATTTAGAATATAATGCAGGTGGTTCTTTAGTGGCTATTTAAAGTTACAACAGCCCTGAAAAAAGTGACATGATCATTCTTCACACGACCATTGCAGCATCCCCATCATCACATGATTTATATTCGAATGTTTGACTACTGATGGTTGCAGTGTTCTGGGGTCACATGATCACCGTTTGCAACCTTCTGATAAGCAAAGTCAATGGGGAAACCAGATTCACTTAACCGTGTTACTCGTTTAACAATTGCAATGATTCAGTTAACAAATGTGACAAGAAAAGTCATAAAATGGGGCAAAAGTCATTTAACAATTTTCTCACTTAGCACATAAATTTTGGGCTCAATTGTTGAGGACTACCTGTATTATTGGTATGCTGATGATACTAAATTATATCACCAGCCCAGATTATGGAGGAGAGGCTATGAGGATCTGAATGAGAAAAGAGATTGAAACTCAACCCAGATAGGATGAAGTTGCTGTTGTAGATCAGGATTGTCAACACCAGAGGGACAAGCACTCCCTGTCAAAGAGCAGGTTTGCAATAGAAGGGATCCTGGACTTACAGATCCTGCTTGAACAACATCTACAGGCTATAGCTAAAGAAGCCTTTGTCCAGTTTCAGCTGGTATTCTAATTGCAACCTTACCTTATGCAAGAGGATGTAGCTATTGTACCTCATGCTCTGGTTATCACTTAGACTACTATAATGAACTTTATACGAAGCTGGTTTTAAAAGACAACCCAAAAATTGTAATCCAGAATGTAACAGCTTGCATGCTAGTTGGCTGTCAGCACCTGGAACATATAAACCCAATTTGCAGGTCCTGAATTGATAAGATAACTTTTATTGTCATTTTTTTTACTGTGGGCACAGCGGCACACATCAAAAATGAAATTTAGTTGCTTCTCTCAAAATGTACACATAGAAACACATATTTAAAACTAACTATATGCAGCATGTGTATAAACCTATACCCTTACATATAAGTAACATATAAATAATCACTGTCGGACTTCCGGTGGCAGGCGATTTCGCTGGTCGCAGCTGTTTGCTGCCTCCCGCCTGTTTTGCGTAAAAGCCGGTTTGACAGCCAGCATCAGCTGTCAAACGGCTTGATACCTTTCCCCTGGGCATAAGGGGATAGGTGAGCTGCCCGGGGTAGGAGTTGAGTTCCCGAGTCGTCCTATATGGACGATGTAGGCGAGAA